CTTTAGAACTCTAGGGTGGAGATCATCCGGACTGCCTGACTTGAATACGTCCAGCCCCTCCAGAAGCTGCCTTACTAAGTCCTTGCTAACCCTTGGCCCACGTGTGCCTCCCTTGGGGCCCAAAGGGGGCCCAGTTGGGAGGTTGCTGTTCTGGTCCCTACTTAGGAAGATGGAGGCAAAGAAATCGTTAAACATGTTAGCTTTGTCATCTGGTGTGACGACCAAGTTTCCCAATGCGTCCTGCAAGGGGCCCACATTACCTGGGACCTTCTTTTTACCCCTTATGTATTTAAAAAAAGACTTGAATAAGTGGAATAATATGAATAAGTGGAAGGAGTCACATTAATTGAATTGAATGAATTGAATAAGTTGAATAATATGAATAAGTTGAAGGAGTCACATTACTGCCAGCTGTACAAAGAGGCTGTGGCTCACTGATATTGGTGCAGAGTGCTCCAAATTTATACAATAATTTTCCACCTTGCATAAAAGGACAATATACTGGCAAATTAGTTGATCAGAGATTTAAGCGTTCACCACAATGGACACTTTGTCAATTGAGTAAAGAACAATATCTTCCTGGAGAGATAACCTAAAGAGTTCTATTTATATTTAAAAACAATTAAAGAAGGCAAAGCTGGATAGTATGCAAGAATTCAGACTTCTGAATTCCTGAAGAGAGGAGGACAGGAGTCAGGGTACTTTTCCAATTAGCAATGATACTAAAAGATTGCCCCATGCAAACAACGTTGGTACATCCCAAAGGTCAATGTGCAGTGGTTATCCCTAAGAACTCTGGTTACTGGTAAGTAGCCATCATTTGCATGAAAAGATGTATGATAGATGCAGGATGAATTGACCTAAATTAATAAATTGTACTCCATACTCCAGTTATGGCCACCTAGGAGAACATTATTTTCTCTGCTTTCCTGACAAATTTTCAGTCCTTGAAAATATTAAACCATTGAAAATATTAAACCATTGGTGACAGACAGGGAGGAAAAGGCTGAACTCCTCAATGATTTATTTGCCTCCGTCTTCTTAAACGAGGGGCAAGACAGGTCTCACAGTGCGATTGTAGAGAGGCAACAGCTGGGTACCAGACTACTAAGTGTTGACCCTGAGATGTTGCAGAGTCACTTGGAAGGACTGGATGTGTTTAAGTCGGCAGGCCCGGATGAGCTCCATCTGAGGATACTGAAGGCACTGGCTGATGTCATTGCACAGCCACTGGAAAAAATATTTGAGCACTTGTGGCACACAGGACAGGTCCTGGAGGACTGGAAGATGGCCAATGTGGTTCCTATTTTCAAGAAGGGGAGGAAGGAGGATCCAGGCAACTATAGGCCAGTCAGTCTCACCTCCATCCTTGGCAAAGTCTTTGAAAAGATTATTAAGGCTCATATATGTGAGAGCCCAGCAGGAAAAATTATGCTGAGAGGAAACCAGCACGGGTTCGTAGCAGGTAGATCATGCCTGACTAATCTAGTCTCTTTTTTATGACCAGGTTACAAAACACGTTGACACAGGAGTAGGAGTTGATATCGTTTACTTAAACTTCAGGAAGGCCTTTGATAAGGTATCCCACCCTATGCTGGTAAACAAGTTAAGAGGCTGTGATTTGGATGGTTACACAGTCTGTTGGGTGGCAAATTGGCTAGAGGGTTGTACCTAGAGAGTGGTAGTGGATGGGTCAGTATTGACCTGGAAGGATGTGGGTAGTGGGGTACTGCAGGGCTCGGTCTTTGGACCGCTGCTCTTCAATGTCTTCATCAGTGACTTGGATGAGGGAGTGAAGTGTACTCTGTCCAAGTTTGCAGATGATACAAAACTGTGGGGAGAAGTGGACACACCGGAGGGCAGGGAACAACTACAGGCAGACCTGGACACGTTGGACAAATGGGCAGAAAACAATGGAATGGAATTTAACGAGGAGAAATGCAAAGTACTGCACTTAGGGAGGAAAAATGTCCAGCACACCTACTGCCTAGGAAATTATCTGCTCGGTAGCACGGAAGCAGAAGGGGATCTTGGAGTCCTAGTGGACTCCAAGATGAACATGAGTCATCAGTGAGATGAAGTCATCAGAAAAGCTAACTGCACTTTATCGTGCATCAGCAGATGCATGGCAAATAGAACCAAGGAGGTGATACTTCCCCTCTATCGGGCTCTGGTCAGACCGCAGTTGGAATACTGCATCCAGTTTTGGGCGCCACACTTCAAGAGGGTTGTGGATAACCTGGAGAGGGTCCAGAGAAGGGCCGCTCATATGGTGAAGGGCTAGCAGGCCAAGCCCTACAAGGAGAGACTAAGGCACCTGGACCTCTTCAGCCTCCACAAGAGAAGGTTGAGAGGCGGCCTTGTGGCTGCCTATAAATTCATCATGGGGGTGCAGAAGGGAATTGGTGAGGCTCTACTCACCAACGTGCCCCTGGGGGTCACAAGAAATAATGGCCATAAGCGAGCAGAGAGCAGATTTAGACTGGACATTAGGAGGAACTTCTTCACAGTTAGAGTGGCCAAGGTCTGGAATGGGCTCCCAAGGGAGGTGGTGCTCTCCCCTACCCTGGGGGTCTTCAAGAGGAGGTTGGATGGGCATCTGGCTGGGGTCATCTGAACCCCGCACTCTTTCCTGTCTATGCAGAGGGTCAGGCTCGATGATCTATTGAGGTCCCTTCCGACCCTAACATCTATGAATCTATGATCTTATTTTTGGCATTTTTGTCCCCTTGATGTTGACCTCTTAGATTTGCTGAATATAGGAAGCCACTAGTAGAGAATATTGTAATTATTTTGGTTGTTCAGTTGACTATCACTATAGACATAATACTTACATATTGCTTAATGCCGGAAGAGATGCTGTGCAACTTGTGACCACGTGCTAAAATCTTCCTTTTTTTTTGTAACAGACTCAGAACATTCATATTACAACTTAATCTTGAAGAAAGCAGGACAATTTTTATCAAACTTGCAGATCAATCTATTGAAGTTTGCCCTTTCTATAAGGGCATACTCTCCAACTGTTCATATGTTTCAACAGGTTTGTAAAATAATCTGCTATATTTGACATTTATGTGTTTGTGAAATCTGTTCTACAGTGTAAATCATGTTAATTATTATTTTTTCCATACATAACAGAAATGCTGCTTAGAATCAAATATGAGGTATGTTATCATCAGGAATCCTGGTTTTCTCTGATTTAAAAAAATCAATGATTTTTGGTTAAAAAAAGTAACCCCAAATCCACATTTTTCCATGATTTAAAATGAAACGCCACTAATATATAAACATATATATAGCAGTGTTTCATTTTAATCATGGAAGAACGTGGATCTGGGCTCACTTCTTTGAATCAAAAATGTTTTGTTTTTAAATCAGGGAAAATTGGAATCCCTGATTATGAAATATATAATGTGGTATCTTATAGAAGAGTTGTATTAAACCTGAGGAACAAATAGTTATGTTTAATTCTTAAGAAATTTTTATTACAACTGCAGTTACGTAAGAGCTGAGTCTTATTTTCTGTGCTGCTGGGAAGTGCATATCTTACTACCCTTCCCCCCTCAAAATTTGAGCATTTCTTAATTAGGGAATTCTTTCCGTACAGTTGACTTGCTATACTCATGACTGTAGTGGAGCTCTTGTCACTTACACTGCTCAATATTACTCTCTGCTTCCTTCCACTGCTGAAAGGAGAGTTATAAATTACCTTAATGTATATGTGATTTCCTACCTAGACTGAGACAGTACTTCTTCCTGTTGTCCCATAGCAATGCAGCCTTAAGGGGAAGGAAAATAGTCCAGATTCCTGTGTTTGTCAGTTGTGGCTCAGTTTAGCTGGAAACAAACTCATTCTGTGCTGGGGAGAGTCAGTTCAGGAATCAATCTTTTCATATGTATTTTTAAGTAGAGAGAGGCAGTTAGCCATGTCAGTCTGGAGTCAAACGGAAAATAGGGCCCGGTGGCGCCTTAGAGACTTATTGGTTCAGAAATGTGTAAGCTTTCATATGTGACAGTCCTGCAGGTATCAGTGGCCTACTTTCTCAACTATGAATGGATATAACTTTCTGAAACAGTTAGTTTCTGAGGTGCCACCCTACCCTGCCTTCTGACTTTATCTTGTACCTCTTTGTGAAAGCAAAGTAACTGATTTATATGAGAGAATGTAAGATGTGATACACGTCAGAAGGTAGTTTTAAAAATGTATCTTGGGATTTGGAGAACAAAGCTCTAAAAAACTCTAATGTGGGGGAAGAGAAAGAAAGAAAAAAGAAAAATATATGGGAAATGCTTTATTTTCTGGGGGTTATTGTATTTATTGTTTTGCATTTTTTTGGCTTCCTGTCTTACTACTCCTGCTCATAATATAGCAGACAACACTGACTTAAAGATAAATCCCCTATTCAAAATATACTCCATGATTTCAAATCATGTGCAGGGGATCTGCCAGCCAGTGTTTTCAAAAATATTAAAAAAACTAAATTAAGCATGTATGTTCTCAGGATATAACTAAATACGATGAACTATGGAGACAATATAATGCACTTATATCATTTTAAACTTTTTCATTACTTTCTTCACATGTCCCCAATTTTGAATGTGCTTAATTAGAAACACAACTTAATAGTAGTTGATGAGATATTTTAATCAAAAGGATGTGTTTAATTTTAAGTTGAAGTGCAATTAAAACAGCCTGGTTGAATGTAATTGTTGAAATATTAGATTGCAGTTGATGAACCTCCACCAGAAGGTTGCAGTGCATTTGTGGTTATCCATGAGAAGCACACCTGTAAGACTAATGAAATTAAAAAACTTCTGAAGAAAGCTGCTAAGAGGTAAATGTAATGAACCATCTTTAAAAAGACATTATTAAAGAGCAAACTGTAATATTGTAGTATAAATACTTCAAGCATTTTTCAAGTGCACATTTACCTGATAGCTCTTATAAGTATGTAATTTTTTCTATCATATTGAAGACATTATATGTTGAACATTTCATTATGCTGTTTTGAAAAGTGCATTATTTCTTGTTTTGAATGCTGTAAATGCTTAAGTTTATGAGAATTCACTAACTAGGAATGAAAATTACCATCTTAAAATAAAATCATAGAGCTTGTATCATCTAACCAGGTGCAAAAAGGCATAGTTTGCATTTCCCTGAGTTTCTGAGGGTATATAAACAGATATTCTTTTGAAGTGCTTCAAATCCCTCTGCAAATATGAAGCACTTCAAATTTGGAGTGCTTCAGCATTGCATAGACATTCAGGCCTGTCCCATCTGAAGTGCTTTAAAATAGCCCTGGGTCCATACCTCTGCAACTAAAGGGCTGGAGGGCAGAAACCCTAGCATGCATTTTAGATCCAAGTCTCTAGGGGCTCTCAAAAACTGCTGAGTGTGGAGTAGAGAGTCCATTGATGTCTGCGCCCTCCTCCAGCTTGTGCTGGTTGCTGACCAAAGTTCTTAATTCTAGTTTTCCTTAGTTAAAGAGATACAAAAAAATGTTGTAACATCACTAGTCTGATTTAGCTAAAATAAACATACCACTTTTGGTAAGTGGTTGTAATAAGGGCACAAAATAAATGGTTGAAATAAGGGCACTGCAGCCAGATTGCTTTCACTTTAGAAGGGTTTGTCAATTACAGGAGTGTTTTACTTTGGGATATTAGGAATTGATGACTACTATTGCCCTGCCCTGTGTCCGCTGGCCATGCAGTGCCAGAAGATGTTTCCTCTTTGTTCTGCTTAGGGCAAGGAGTCAGGGACTAGCTGGACACATTTTGTGTCCTCTTCTGTCATTTTTCTCAGCTGACATTCAACAACATGGCAGCTCAGGGTACCATGACTGAGGTCCTGGAAAGCACCTCCTTGAAATATATTACAGGCTCTTTACCACCAACACTAACATGCCTGAAGATGACACTATGTAGGACACCATTCAGATCAGCCTTCTCTAGGACCACCTGGAAACTATGACCCAGCACTACTGGGCAAGGGATATGACAGTGACTGGTCAGACCGCATAGTTCAGGGACACTGGGTGACAAGCAGTGGAGGCGGAAATATAAAATGACCTGTGCTCTGTTCATGGAGATCCATATTGAGCCTGACCCCATTGTTTGAGCAGCAAGCCACCAGCAGGAGGGTGCTTCTCACCGTGGAAAAGTGCATGGCCATTGCCATCAAAGTTGGCAGTGCCTGACATTCTCCAGTCTGTGGCCAGCCACTTCAACAGAGTCAGCTGCACTATTCAGAGAGTTCTGGCACCATGATTCCTCCAACCAACACAAGGTTGTTGTCAGATTTAAAGTCTAGCCTTTCGACTGTGGGTTCCCTGGGGAAAATTGCTAATAGTCCTATATTGAAGTGGAGGGGGTTGGGCTCAATGGAAGCTGCTGCTGATAAAACTGGCCTGGAGACTGTGCTGCCAAGAGACAGAGTGGATAGGTTTCCCCAAAGTATAACATGGAGTAGGGCTGGGCAAGATAAACCTGACACTGCTGAGGCCCTGTTGCAGGCTGAGGCTTACCCCTGGCCATGGTGTCTGTTAGACCCCAACTTCACGCAGTGCCCAACGACTAGGGAGACAACGGTCCAATTGCTCATGGATCCTGGTACTCATTATCCAGAGCAAGCCGGGAGCATACATCAGCACACATTGCTTGCAACAGCTTTATTCAGAATGGAGACAGCTTCGGACAAGGGTGCCTCACAGACACACAGCCCGTGAACCAGGGGGCCTGCACTGAACAATAGTTCTTTTCACATTTTATACAACTTGGTTCATACATATTAACATTTCCCTGCCTTCATCCCTCCTCCTGTTCCACCTATTTCTCCTCCCATCACAAGCTCTGCCTTGGTTTACTGTTTACTTCATTAACATAGACTGGCTTATGCATTTCCTCCATTTACATGTCTCTCTGCTAAGAGCGCATGTGTAAGGCCATGAATCTGGGTACTCTCGGTCAATCACTGATTCGTTCTGGTTCTTTGCTGACTTCAGGACCATCTCCAGTGTTTTGCTTCTGCTTTATCTGCTGACGATAGTTGGTGGGCTGCATCTTGTTCTTCTTACACAAGGAATCATGTATCCTACACACTATTCCATTGTTAAAGAAACTACTTGCCTAAGCATTTGCAAGGTTGTTTTAATACATCATTTTGCATTGTGGTCAGCAGGTTTTTGCTGAGACACAGATTAAAGTCTGGCAATACACCACAATACCCATCATCCCTCACAACAGGGAATGCCAGGAGATAGTATCTGGCATTTAGGACTTGAGCCTGGGTTTTTCTCCAGTATAGGGATGCCACCGCAGGCATTTGGAGCACGTCAGAATATTTGAGTCTGTCCATACCCAGTCAATAAAGGGCGGGTTTAATTGGCTATACTTTCTGTGGGAGCTCATTAACCAATACACTTGAGACAGTATTTGCCCTGTTTGTACCTTGTTCCAGTTCAGTCTGCTAGACCCTTATAGCCCCACAAAAGTGTGGGAGTTACAGCTGCTTTCCACTGCCATAACTGCGCCCCCCCTCGCACCCTCCAACTATGCTTACCATCCTGTTTTTATTTCTGCAGTGGTTAATACCGTCTTAACTTCATGAAGCAAATGTAGATACCTTAGCTTCTTTGTGAAGGTAAATGGAGCTAAAAGATTCTCTTTTAAATACATATACCCTGCATTTTTTAGGAATAGGATACAAACCAGAAGAAATTAATAGTTCCTCTTTACATTTGCCTTTTTTGATTCTTTTGTCTACAAAAACTTGCTCCGTTTTGTTCACAAAGTTATTGATACTGCTATAATCTCTTGTTAGAATGATAACCCAGTAAATATTTCAGGATTTTTGTTTGTTTGGTATCCATTCTTTCCTACAAATTTTTCACACTGGAGGCTACATCTAGCATTTTGATAATTACCGTGTATTTTCTGCCTAGAAAACTTCCTTTTAATTTTTTTTCTATTAAAAGCTTATGCCAGAATATTAAAGCAGTAGTAGCACATGGTAAAAAAACCAGACTGATGTCTTTTAAGGTAATCAGAGAACTTGTCCTGATGGGAATCTTTACTTGGTGCTGACAAATTTAATTAAAGCTTCTTGTGAGTCTTTGGTAGAGTGCTTTTTTTACTGTCGTTCACTAAAATCAGCAATTTAAACTCAGAGAGAGCTGAACGAGTTTTGGCTTTTACAATGGATCTTTTTTTCACTAGGTTATGGAAGGAAAAGTTACTTTGTGCCCTTATTTCAACCATTTACCAAAAGTGACATGCTTGTTTTAGCTAAATCAGACTAGTGATGTTACAATATTTTTTGTATCTCTTTAACTAAGTAAAACTAGAATTAAGAACTTTGGTGTAAAAGGAGATTTAAGTCAGTATTTGCCTAGGAGAAAGGTATTTCTAGGAAGTTGTTGCATGTTCTGTGACTTTTGGGTATTTGAGTAAAGGGACTGCCTATTTTCATGTATCATTCTAACAGATTATGTGAGATACTTTGTTTTATGTGTATTGATGAAAACGACAATGCCAGGCCCCTAAGTAGTGTCATAGTGAAGACATCTCTGATGTTCATATAGAAATCTGTTTGGATTTCTTCATCTCTCTGGACCAGCATTTAGCTATGTTGTTTGCTTTGGAAATACCCATATTTGATGAAGTTACTGCTTAGTGTTAGGCACTCTCAAGAGAAAACATGCTAAAGTCCACTTTAAAGAAGAAATTACTCATTAATAACCAGGGATCCTGATTTTCTCTGATTTAAAAAAAAACACTCCAATTTTCAGATTAAAAAAAGTAACCCCAAATCCAGATTTTTTGGTGGTTAAAACAAAACACCACATATATATATAAGTGGTGTTTCATTTTATGGAAGAATGTGGATTTGGTGTTAATCTTTTAAACTGAAAATGGGGAAGTTTTTTAAATCAGAGAACACCAGGATCCCTGTTAATAATTAACATTTTGAGAGTGTTGCCTATGCCCACTCTACCTGCACATCTTTCTCAGAGTTTTGTTTTCATAAGATGTTGACTTTTATCTACAAGAACTGAGGCAGAGTGGTAATGCATATCTTTTGATGGTGTTGGCTCCAAGTGTTAGATGATGCATGTGCAATAGAAGCAGGGCTGCTTTAATATAAATAAAGCCCTGTGCTGTTACAGAGACATAACCCCCCAAACCATGAATATATACAGGTAACCTTTTCAGGCTTCAGTTACTAGAGGGTAACCCTTCCATTTATCTGTTGTTTAGTGGTTAGTACATGTTCTGTCCAGTGGCTGTAAGGCTCATTATTGAATGAAAAGGCTGCTTCTTGCACACTAATTAAACAAATGAAACTTCAGAGCTTTTTAATCTTTAGTTTAGCTGCCACTTGATATAATGTTATAAAATTATCCCCTAACTGATGCTGATTTTCATCATTATTAAGCTTTCATTTGAAAACTGGTTTTGAATCCTTTATGTAGTCATTTTTTTATGTTTCTAACATACCTTGTATATTTTACATCTAATTTTATAAAGGTTTGATAACTAGAAAGTAAACAAAACTCTTTGTTTTTATTTATGTATTCTGTATCATTTGAACTATGGACATATACTATAAGAAATATTTGTTTTTAATCATAGACCAAGGCCATATCTATTTAAAGGAGATCATAAATTCCCTACACTCAAGGAGAATGTTCCTGTGGTTATTCTTTATGCTGAAATGGGTACAAAAGATTTTGTTAAATTTCACAAACTTTTGTCTGAAAAGGCCCAGAAGGAGGAAATTACTTATGTTCTCCGACATTATGTTCAGGTACGCAACTCAGCTTGCCACCAATTCAATATGCAGTGTCCATTTTACATTTATTTGTCTTCCTTGTTTCTAGTGTACCTTTTCTCCTTTAAGTTTTCAGTGTGCTTAAATCACATAAGTCATATTCTAATTGTGAAACTTTATATTAGTTACCTAACATAGACTTTGAAACTGAAAAAGAGATAGTAAGTAACACTCTAGATACTGACCTCATCACTGTTCCTTTCTAATTTTCTGCTCCTGCCATCTACTCTTCCCCTTTTGCTCCTGCACAACCCCCATTCCTCCCCCCTTTTGCATTTCAGCGTGATTCTTCCTCTTATTTTAAGAGCTCCTACAATCTACAGTCTGCCAGACAAATTTTGTTAACTGTTGCCAGGTGAACCTTCAAGCCATAAAAATGTTACTAGACAATGTACCAAGTATTTCATATGGTAAACTGATACAGGATCCTTAATATAAATATGTTAGCTATTTTGTCAAACTGCTGTTGCTTAGGAACCTCTAAAAGATGCTGGATCTAGTGACAAAATCACAAAGTTGCCAACACTGCTTCTCCTCCTCTTCCTTGCTTTCTGAGTGCTAGTAAGAGGAATATTGATGAAAAACAGTTTCCATTATCTCATCCTGTGTGCCTGACACTACAATTGTCTCTGGCTGCCAGGAGGAACAATTACAGAAAAAAACAGGTTCATCTCCTGCATCTGTGGACTGGACCATGCTCAGTGCAGACAGGAAATTCTTTGGAAAATGTATCTGTTAAACTCTAGTAAGTCTCTAACATGTTAAAGCTGAGCGCTTTCTGGAGTCTCATAACTTGGTCAAATTTGAGCAAAATTTCACAGATACTTACAAACACATGCACTTAACACCAAATTACAAGTTCTTGCTCCAAAACATGAAGACACCAGAACTTCTAAGCAGAACACTTGCAGCATTGGCATGGAGAAACACAGTTCTCAGATGAAAACAAGGTTTGCCATAGGAAGTGTTGGGGCAGCTTTAACCTTATGTAGCTCTATCAACTATGCCAGTAATGAGGTCTCTGATATATTTAGTGCAGAGGCTACAAACTTTGTCCAACCTATAATGAGAGCAGCAGGAAAAAGGAGAGACTATTTTCCTCAATCCAGTGGAAGGAACTACCATAATTTTGTCAAAATGTTTTGCCTGAATCTATGCTTTCATTTTTTATTCTTTTTTATTTAAAAATAAACTATATTGTGAGTATTGAAAATATAAACTTCAAATTAAGTATTTTGTTAAATGTTTAAAAGTTAAAATGTTTCATAACATGTAACCTGATTGATTAGGTAATGTAATCTTCTTAAAGCATGCTGTTTTAAAAGTGTATCTTTTCACTTGTCAAAATAATATCTTCAAGCAGAAATCAGGCTCCAGGAAAACATATTTGTCTGGATATGGTGTGGAACTTGCAATAAAGAGTACAGAATACAAAGCAGTGGATGACACTCAGGTTAAAGGTGTATATATATATATTATTTTTATGATTTGTTGCTTGTTAACCATAAACACAAAATATTTGGCATCTTCAATTCTGAGGGTTGTAATGTTTTCAATGGTATATTTAATTCATTTTTACAGGATATGTTAAAAGTAGTTCAGATACAGGCCAAATCTTTTGTACATATGGAAGTCATTTCACCTTCTGTCGTAGAAAAGAATTATTGAAGAACAGAAAAAGGGTACCTACATTAATTTTCTGAGATTGAAGTGTGACACATTACCAAAAGTAGTAGCACTTGCTTTCTTAAGGAAATTTCCCTTAAGTGCTGCACGTAAGCCCAGATTCATGATTGGGAATTTATGATGTATGTCTTTAGAAAACAACAGTTACAGGTCAGTTATTTGAAGAGAGATCACTACAGCCAAATACCGTTCTGTCACCATTGCTTCTCTACAGAGGCTTTGAAATTTTTAGTATTAATATTAAGATTATTTTCTGTTCAGGGTTGCAGTAAATTTTTCCTAGTAAATTAGTATTGCAGCAAATACTCCCTTGTTTGGCTCTTTTTAATGACAGCTAAGTAGAATGCATCAAATTGGTTGTGAAAAGGGGTTCATAGAATCATAGTGTCCTAGCTGCCTGCGGAGGGTTTGGGATTGAGAGTATGGTCGAGGGTAGAAAAGTAAGAAAGGTTTATTAACTTAACAAAAACACGACTACATGTAGTATACTAAGACAGATAATGACAGACAATAATAATTCGCGTCGACAACTTACTGGTAGTCCCCTCTGATGCCTGATGTATGACAAGTTTGTCTTCTGCAAAGCTCAGCGAAGTCAGGCATCCCCAATCAGCGCTGTCTGAGAGGAACCAGGAAGGACCTTGGTGTTCAGTCCTTGGGCTCCTTGAGATCCATGGGCCCACTGATCCAGGTCAACAGCTAATTAGTCCCTTTCACAGAGATGTATCTTCCTTCTGAATGATTTCCGGATGTGCCGGCCAATTTATAACTTCTGAGCTGTGCTGATAACTTACAGCCATTCATATTTTTTATTTCAACTGTCCTTAGACTGACTAATAGCAATACAAGCCTTGCATTCTTTTGATAAGGTTAATTTTAACTACACCACAGGGCCTTACTACTTCAAGGCTTTGCTATATTTACCAGGCCTTACTTCATACAAGACCTTACTACATTTTAAACTTTAATTAAGCTCTTAGCAACAACACATAGCTTAATATCTAAACAAATGACAGAAAAACACTTGATCTAATCTTCATAGAGCCTTCAGCAAGCACCTTTATCACACAGACATAATTTTCAGCTGTCACACTCCACTCCTTGTTTGCTGAAGCACTATGATAGCTACAGTTGAGATGCTAAAGCTATACGCTCTATATTAGGGATCTTTAAATTTAACTTGTATAGCATGAACAGGTTTATAACAACAACGGTTAAAATTCTATTTAGCTGTTGCCACTAGGGCAATGCAGAACACAGTGATGGTCAAGATGGTTAGCCACGTAGTTGAGGTGATACCTGGTGACAAGCGAACAGTGCAAATTACTTTGTACCATTTACATGGCTTGGGCACACTGACAGCCAAATTGATGATTTGCCCACCTTCTCGAGCAAGGAGAGCCAACTGAGTGCCTTGCTGAGCTTTTGCCTCAAGGCTTTGCAGCTTATTTTTTATCTTATTCTAGTTTTTTAACTGTGGCATGTCTACATCTGATACCCACAAAGTGGGTATCGTAAAGTTGAGTGGTATAGTTTGGGAGGAAATTTCTGGCTATTTTAGGGCAATAGTACGGTTAGTTAATTGCAGCAGAACAACGGCTCTACTCTTAGCTTCTAAGCAACACAAATTGCGCAAAGTCTAGGTGGTACTATTTTTATACAGCAAATGACCTGGTCTTTCCTAACAAACACATTGCCCTACAGTTACATATGACACATTAGGTAACTTGTATATGCAGGTTATGTTAGGTGGGCTGAAAGGCCAGCCTCTCCATATGGTCCCTAATCTAATCAAGGTTTCTTCTTCAACATACAAGGTTTCAGTGCCCTCTTCCTCTGTTAGATGATCAACTCTCCTGTTCTACTTTTCCTCCGGGCCTTCTCCTGCCTTATTCCCATGTGCTGCACTCACATGTCGGATGTGTAGAGGAAGCTTATCTTGGGCTAACTTCTATAAGTTCTCCCATTTCTCATGGCTCTAAATGTCTTGTCCTTGTCTTTTAAAGTTTTCCTTGTTCCACTGGGGTAGCCATTTAGTACATCCTTCTACCACCATCCAGGAATTGCTATAAATATAAATGGGCTTTACAGGACATGTACCTTCTACTAATTCCCACACAGCCACGCTGAGCATTGCTTTGAGCTCGGCATACTGCACGCTTTTTCTGAGGCTTTATAATACTACTTGCTTGCTATCTCAAATCGTCAAGGCGGCTGCTCTCCAGGCACGACCTCAAGCAGACCTATCTGTAAATCAGACTTCAACATTGCCTGAGGTCTCCATTTCAGGTGAGAAAGGAGGTGCTTCTTTGATGGTGAAGGTTCGCTGCAGCTTGTTTGATCAGGATAAACATTAATTGTACTTTCTGTGACTCTTTCAACTAATGCAGGGCATCCCTTTGAGGTTACTTGTTGAACCTAGCTCAAGATGTAATAAATCCACCTTTGGATGATGGTGTCTTGGGCTTTCCCCCCAGGTGGTAACTCGTGATCTGACAGAGCCATTCTGAGAATAGGTATCAGAGTAGTGACAATTGTGGGTAATTCCCCTCTCAGTGCTTCTGTGGCTTCCAGGGCCACTGTTGCTGCACACAACATCTGTTCTAAGAGAGTATACCTTGCTTCCACCCCTCTCCAGCCTCGGCTCCAGAATCCAAGGGGTTTTCCTTCTGCTTTCGAGGACTCCTTCTGCTGCAGGCTCCGTTGTGATCCTCCTTCTGAGACACCAAAGCTCCTTCGGGATGTTGTGCTGCTATGAGGCATGAACAGTTACTGCTTCTTTAAGGGCTCATAAGGCATATTCATGCTGAGGACCCTGTTCCCATTTAGTCTTCTTCTTACATAGCTCATCCCTTGTATAACCTAATATACTAAACTCTGGAATATGCATATGCCAAAAATTAAGTGCTCCCAATTGGGCCTGCAGTTCTTTCATATTAGTGGGAGTCAGGGTCTCTACTATACTTCACAGCCCTTCAGTTGGTATTATGGGCCCCCCATTCTGCCATTCTATTCTTAGAGATTCATACCTGTGCCCTACTTCTTGCATTTTCCATTCAGACAGTGTGAATCTGAAGGTACACACTTCCTCTTTTAATGATTCAAAGGCCTTGGTGGCAGCCTCTTTGTTTTGACTGCCCACCATGATGTCATCTATATACTGCCACATGTGTACGTCAGGGTACTTTTCTTGGACTTCATGAACTATTGTAGCTAGAACCCCATGAGCCAGGGTGGGGCTGTGTATCCACCTCTGGGGCAACACGGTGTAGGTATACTGCTGCCCTATCCACGTGAAAGTAAATACTGGCCAGTGACTCTCATGGATGGGAATAGCAAAAAGCATGTCCTTGATATCAACGGATTCTATCTACACAGGCCCATAACACCGGATGCTTTCTGTTAAGGCTGGTAGTGATGGAACGGCAGCTGTCAAGGGGTCAGTATTAGCATTCAAAGCTTGAAGTCAATAGTCAGTTGCCACCCTCCATTTGGCTTGCGCACTGGCCACACTGGATTGTTGTATGGAGAGTGGGTTTGGATAATAGTCTCATCTTCTAACTACTGGCTTATAATACACTGGATAGGTTGGGTGGCCTTGGGGGGGGTTCAATACTGGGGTCAGTGTAGTGCTTTCATGGGAGGCAGGGTTAGTGGGATCATGCTACATCGAGTTACAGCTGTTATAGCTGTTTCTTTTGGTTCTCAGTGAGGCACTGTGCACCCAAACTGCCAATTCTCTTGCTTAATGGCAAGCCACTGTTCTCTTAGTACATTAAGTCCCAGTAAGCATGGTCCCCCTTTAAGTATTACTGCTGCCACTGTCACCTTAGAGCCATTAGGTAACGCGAAGGTTGCTCAGACTAGATGTCCTGGTCATCTGATACATCCAACTCTAATTACTTGATAAGGGGTTCCTTTCTCCCCCTTCCAATCTGCTGAATCTAAAATGCAAATCTGGGCACCTGTGTCTAATAGTATATCAATTGACTTTTCACTTTTACTTAATTTAATCTGTACAGTTTTCTGAATTAAGGGGACAATATTAACTTTAGATACCGGTCCCCGGCCTGCTATTGCCCCCATTGTGGCCCCTTTCATTGGGATTTGGGCCGGCTGGGCTTTCTAGACTACATAATTGGGGGGGGGCAGGGAGAGGGTAAAGGCTGACAGCCCCGCATGTGCCTGGGAAAATGTTGACGGTTCTGCCCTCAGAGCAGAGAATCCCTCTGGTGACCCTGCTGGTGATGTATACGGCTCCGCTTTTAGCCTTGCTTTTTCACTGCAGTGTTTAGCCTGCAGCCCTCGCAAAACATAGGCGGGCAATCTATCAATTTGCACCTTATTGAAACTGGCAGCTAACAAGTCTTTTCACTAGTGGAGTGTTGGGCTGGCCTTCCCCAGCTTTTTCTAGCAATTCGTGGGGGTCAGGGGGTTTGTCTTTTGCTGAGGCCACTGCCATGGCCTTGGCGGTTTTCATAGGCTTAGCCAGCCCTGGCTTCTGCAAAATGGGTAAAAGCTGCACTAATCACTGGATCTCATCTCTTACCAGGTGATTCACTGCCTTTGGCTCAAAGGCCAACAGGGCTGAGGTGCACTCTGCTGGTGCTCATCAGCAAAACCTCCTCTACAACGGTTCTGTCACAACTTCTGCATCTGGTGTGCGAGTCCAAACTGCTGCATGAATGATTTCAGTTAGTGCTAACTGATACAAGCAGTGGACAGCCTCTTCTAAATTGGCCCATGCCCGACGGGCGGGTTAAGCTCTTCTTCT